GTGAACGTCATATGTAATCTAGCTGCAGGGAACGTCTTACTAACTGATTTAGAGAGACGATTTTTTGTGCTTGCTCACCTTTGAATTCCAGGTTCATGAATAAGGTTTTCTTTGGAACTAAGTCGGTGACCAGTACATATATAGAATTCATGCTAACTTCCCGCGTTTTCTTCGTTACCGACTTTTAAAGACAGCTGAGGCCTTGGCAATTCATGACTTTAAGCCAGACCTTTGTGTACAAAAGAATTATGTACAATCCCTACTTCTGCCTTGGCCGTAGAGGGATAGACATTTATTTATTTTATTTATTTAGTTATTCTATGTACTTTTCCCTTATTACTACGATTATTATTATCATTTTTATTATTACGACTCTCACTTTGAATCTTTTCCAGTTGACCCACTTGACATTTTAAACCCAAAATTATTCATGTGTATACTTTTTATCCTTATTTTTACAATATTAAATTCTATGTTATCAAATTTCACATCATGTTACGTAACATTTTATATTCGTCTACTAATCTTATAATTATATACCTGTTTCCAAAATCTATACACATTATGTATTATTCTATATAGACATTAATTCTTTTGCCACTTGACATTAAACCATGATTATAATCACAAATATTTTGATTGCATTTCATACTATTATTATTTCATGTATTCACACCTTTGACCTAATTCCCACACCGGATACAATTTCTTTATAAAACCATATATATACGATTGTACACCTTGATAATGAATTCGTTGAAGAGAGTCTCTTCGCTGAAAATTGTGTTCCTAAAATATGTATATATATATATATACATATATATATATGCACTTTTTGTTTTAACCTCTTCAGATATGGTTTTTGAAGAGAAAGACAAGCAGCTAACTGGCTTTATTTTTGTAATAAGTGCAGAAGACGTTGTCTGAATGAACAGACTTTGCAGTTGATGAAATACCCAAATAATAGATCATATCTCCTCGACCAATAAATCTTCTTCAGCACTTTAGACATTGATATAGTGTAACACTAGAACAGGATAGTTATTTCGATTAGGTTTGGTATTTAGTGTATACTTTTAACCAGTAGAAGTGAACTAGTTCACTTCGACACGTTCTACTGACCGATGAAAGTAGATATACGAATTAATGGCACTCACTAGTCATGTTAATATAATGTAAACCCTAGACGACCGTCCATCTGTCTTTATCTCTGTGTGTGTGTCTCTCATGCGGTATGAAGTTCACGAGAGGTGATTGTAGACTAAAATAAATAAAATAATGTACAAGTCACATCGGATAAGAAGTACAGTTTATGACAGTCATTTATTAATGCACTTATTTAGGAAAAATGTCTTAATTCCGTTGGCCCATGATATTATGAGGAATAACTACCAGTAGCTTTGAAGATAGATTACAGTCATGACCCAGTATCAATTGGGAAGTGATCATTATTAATATTATTATTATTTTTGGTTCTCCTGTTTAAAACTCTTCGGAAATGTAAAATAGTCACCATGTGAATGACTGAATAAATTTATTACTGTTATTATTCTCTTAGTTTGCGAGATGAACATAGGGCTTTAATGACACATCTCCATCTGACCATTTTCTCTGGAGTGCTTTTTAGCTGGCTTCCCGACTGCTCATAACCTTTTCTCACACGATCTCCTCCTTATTATCCTTGGAAGCCAAACTCATCGTTTCCCATTTCGGTTCCACTCGAGGGACTGGCGCATGACGTCACACACCTTTCTTTCATTTCTTTCAACTGGTTCGGGTCCAGGGTTTCTCCAGTGCTGCTACGTAATCTCCCTTCCTTTGCTTTGGTGGATGCAGTGAAGGTATCATTTATAGCTTTGTCCTTCAGCTTTTGAATGTTGAAATTGAATTTTTTTTTTTTTTTTTTAGTTTTATTTCAGCTTGATTCCACTGTATTTTCGGTACAAGTATGGAATCAGGTGTGCGTCGGTGAGGGCTCGAACCCCGGACCATGTGCATGGTCGGCGAGAGTCCTAACCACTGTGCCAGTTGCTTTCGAAATCCCTTGCACGTTGAAGGTCCCTTACACTAGACAGTACTGGGAACCTACGTCTTCTACCCTTCTAGACTTCATGCCGGGCAGACACTGAATGCATTCGAATATATCAACTTAGTTAGCAAGTTACCACTCCATTATAAGACTAGACTGGAAATACCCCTGACTGTTCATCTTCTCATAGTTAGTACATGACAATCAGGCTAATTTCTGTCTAGCTCATGACAAAATTCCACCTACTGAATCTTATATAAACTCTCCATAAATTTTACATTTGAGTACTTTTATTTCAGTTTTTATTAACAAAAGACTAAGAGTATTCAGTTACAGAAAGATCATCCTGTTTGTGAGAATCTTTTATTTCTATTCAACTAGCATAAAAGCTACAAAACTTTATTCATCCTCATTCTTTACTGCATAGAATAGTTTTGTTTCCTTAAGTGAATTCTTAACAAATTTCTTCTAGTGTTACTAAAATAATAATAATAACAATAATAAAAGCAAATGAATAAACGAAGACAGCCTTCTCTAATTAGGTTGACATTGTTTCACTTCAATCAAGTCTTTTGTTTAGCCTTCATATTTCCACATGTACACGTTATATAATAGTCTCTGAACTTTTCTCATTCTAGAATTCACGAGCCATTGAATCGGGTCCCAGTGGCTGAATGGTATACGAGCTTGCCTTGTAACCAGAAGGTCCCGGGTTCGAATCCCAGTTGGTGCGAACTGCCGATGATTCCCAAAACTAGGATGAAACAGCAGCTGTCCAGTACTCCCTGGTTTTCAATGCTTCTCTAACTGATATCAATCAGTGATCAACCCGTAAAACTATTGATATAAACTCATCATTTTTCCAAGAGATGGCGGGAAAACTGCTTTCATTCAATACTGGACCTTAATTGAAGGCTTTCAATGACCCTAAACAATCAGCTTATAAGCACAATAGGCAGGCTTCATATGTCAATGTTGTCTTTCATCATAATATTGTCTCTAGTTTAGACAGTGGTGCTAAATGTGTTCAGTGTGCCTTCCTTGATTCCTCATCTTCCTTTGGCTCTGCACCTAAGCTTATTTCACTAAGTAAGTTTGCTGAAACACAGGAAGGGTACTGGATTAATAAATCGTTGCATTCTTACCTTTCTGACGGGAAGCAGTACACTACTTACAATGTGAATTCCTCCACTGTTTTACTTGCTCTAGCTGATGATCCTCAGGGCAATGTTCTCCTTTTCTTAAATGACTTAAGTCTCATTTGTATGAAGCCGATTTTGTTAAGTATGACGATGATCTGACTGTTTCTATGTTGGCGGTACTCCTAACAACCAGATTGTTGCAAAGTGAGTGACGTTTTCTACTAAAAGTTAATCAGTGGTACTCGTCAAATGGTCTTAAGCTAAATCACTCCAAATTTCAGGTTGTTACTTTCACCTACAGACGCAAGTGTGACCTACATGAACTGGTTCATGGCACTGAAGTTGGAACTAATTCGAATGATAAATACTTCGGATTGTGTATTTCGTCAAATCCTTCGTGGTCTTCCCACGTCATGTTAGTTTCTAGAATGATATTACGTTTAACCTTCTAGACAAAGAAGTTGAAACAACATGGTATCACTTAGTCTCTATTATTGATTTTTGTGATTTTTTGTATTTTATTTATTTGTCTTTATTGCATTCTCTTAATCTTCCCTGAGCTATTTAAGAAACACTTTGTTTCACTACGAAGGGCATTAAAAGCTGTCAGTAGGGCGAGTGAGATGCCGGTAAACCAACTTGTCATAGCTGCTGTAGGTAGACACATGGACTTCTGCAAGAAGTCAGCAAATATTATCTTGTCAGACTCTGAGCATCCCCTCTTTACACAACTCCCTCCTTGCGTCTTATCAGGTGGGAATAGAAGCAGCTACAGGAGACTTTATGCTCAAATGACTAATCATAAAAATTCCTCAATACCTTATTTGGCATGCACAGATTTTATGTGATAAGAAAAGCGTAAAGCATAACAATACCAATTTACTGGGGGAAACTAAGTAAATGGCCCTTTTTAGTGTTTCTTTCATTGTTATATTGTTGTTGATATTTCCAATTAAATTTCAATTGTATGTTCATGTTCTTATTGAACGATAATAATAATGTAAATGCCATGTTATCTCCCCCTGTATTATTTAAAGGGAAAACTGGACGCAATATTGTATCACATGGTGAAAATTGTATTACTTTTTTATTACTTCTTGAGATAGAGCTATTATTATTTTCATCATTATGAATTTAAGAGGACCATCCAGCTAATGAAATAGAAAGTCGGTTTTATACAGCTTGGTCATGAGAAATTAACCAGCATTATGCTTCTGTTGATTAGTGTTGCTGACTGTATTTCATTAGTCAAGTTTGTATCGAGTACTCCAGGCTAAGTGGTTGCCTGACCATTTCAGTGTTCTTTGAAATGATGTTGATGGATGGAGTCAATCAGCAGGAAATCCAAAGGGATATTAGTGTCTTCGAGGTTGCGGAAACACCTTGCCAATGAATGCCATCAAGCCCCAAAACCGAGGCCTAGGGCTTCTTACCGATTACATCTTACCATCTGACACCAGTTCAGACTACACTCTGCTGACATGTCATCAAGTTTAATGATCACCTTGCAAACGAGATTCACAGAATTCAGATATCAGCAAACAAAAGGGCTGGACACATGACATGACACATGACATTACTTACACCTAAGTGACCAGTCAGTGTATCGATTATAGTCCTATAAGAAGTGAAACAAGATCCCGAATAGCTTAGTAGTGACGTTCCTGAATGCAGACGTGAGTGGCGCGTGTTCCAATCTCATAGTACGAGGGTAGAAATTTTACTTCCTTCGAGTTTGATGAAACACCTTGCTGTCTAGTGCCGGTAAACGCGAGACCTACGTAAACAGCTTCCAACCATCCAACGAAAAAGAAAGATAATTTATTGAGCACAAATTAAAAATTTCAATATAAAAGTAATTAAGGGATCACAGAAATGATTATACACAGACAACAATCAGTGCTAGTACAGGTAGGCATATTTAGGAAGAAATCTCAATAATTTTTACAAAAATACAATATATATATATATATATAAACATATACAAATAGACGGTTACAGATTTGCACACACAAAAACACTTCCGGTCACACTGGAAGGTGAAAAATATAATGATGAATATCTGATATTTCTCTGAAGATGTACTGTGGATAAATAAATGTGTTTATTTTAAAAATATGTATATGTAAAATGTAAAATAAACACTTAACGAAGAAGGTAGAAAGACAGATATTTTGATATCACATAACTGACTGATTTATTGATTTTCTATAAAATTTAAAATCTGATTTCGTCTGACTGAGTTAGTAAGATTTATGACGCATATTATAGTGAAGCATGCATAGATGGATTCACGCCTATATATGTATATATGTGTGCTGTAGTACATATACAGTTGAGGTTAGTTTTTACATGCAAACAATTAAGCATGCGTGTAACAATGTATGTATTTACGTATCCTAAAGGATATGATCTAATTACACATTGACTGAAGCCTAACACATTCTTTTCTTCTTCTTCTGGTAATTATACAAAATATTAATTTAATTTGATCTTTGGTAAGCTTTTACAAAAATATATATATGTCTACTAATTAATTCTTTATGTGTCATCTTGGTCTTGTTACATCCAATATTTGTCTTTTTACTTGTAATGCATTTCATACATCGAAATGGCACTAATCATTTGACGAAATGATAAACAGCCTTTTTGGGAGAATAAATTATTGTCTGATAGCAAAAACGAAAAGATGACCTCTTGTATTTTCATCTTTAAGTCCCTGAACAATGATAATGTTAATTACCCGGTTTAACTGGTGAAATGGAACCAGACACAAGAACATACATGCGGATATGTACAGGCTGCACGAACACTCCAGGATGAAAAAAAAACAACTTCCTCATGAACAAAAAAATACGCAGAAAAAATGAAACGAAGAAATAAAAACGAAGAATGAATGAAAATAATTAAAATTTAGTTAAAGCTGAATTAGCCATCGGATCAATATTGTTTCCATACAGACTGGGTACATTTAATGTGGAGTCGGTTATTTCCATTGCGTCAGGCATAGTAATTACTTTCATAGGAGTATGCTTTTGAGGATTATCCATCATACTATTGCTAGGCATATTAGTAGTACTACTAATAGTCTTAGTGGCTGTACCGTTGTTCAAAGGTAGAATGTTATAAAAATCTCCATTTTTAATAGATTTTGTGGTTGAGTACTGTGGGTTTGTCATGGTTGGTCTATTGCTGACTGAATCTGGTGTGTACACAGCCATTGTGTGATCCAATTTGTCTTCGATTTGCCAGTTGGGTATTTCATAAAATATGGGGTTTGTATAGTCATATAAACCCTGGAATAGACAGAAAGTTAAATAAAATATAGAATGAGGCGAGTGTTTGGCGCAAATCAGTTGTTTTACTGCATGGTTCTATTAGAACACAGTTGCTTCTTAGTCGTTGTTAAGAGAGACGAAGATTGAATTTCGATGGAATGAAATTCGAAAAACAACAGTTTGCTTTAGTTCCATAATAGAATATTTTTTCGAATAAGAAGACAGAGTTAGGCTTTAATTTTCAAATATGAGATTTACATTCATTGACATTCAATCATGAAATTACTGTATAAAATCCACAACTCAAAAACGGAACAATTCAGCAACACGACACTTATGAGTTGTGGTTCATAGTTGTTCATTTTCGAACATTTTCCTGCATGATTAAGGAAGAGACAAACAAGATCTATTCGCAGCTCTGTTTTAGCACGCCTTATGGATTCTGGACATATAGTTAATGTATTAATAAAGCATCCATAGTTATTTCTCCCATTCCGATTAATATTAATTTTACTATACTAGTCCGTCTTCTAAATACATAAAGCTGAAGCCATCAGAATTCATCTGAGGAAGCCAGAATTGTGTCTTCAGGAGAAATGTGTGCAGTCACTTTCCTCACCTTAGAAATAGTTGCATCAGTGTAAGAAGCTGACAGTTTCGCCCTCCTCCTAAGCCTTTTTTTCCTTCACGTTCCCCTGTGGAACATAGGGCTTCAAGATAGTGGCTTCAAGTTTCTGTAGCAGTGTTTATTCTACAGAATGGGGTTGCTAGCCTCATGCCCAACCTTTCCTCTTTACCAGCATTATTTCTGGCTTAGCGAGGTAAAGGAGTTCGCCGGCCGGGGATTGATCCCCGGACCATGTGCATGGTTGACGAGCGTGCCTTTTACAAGTTATTATTGTCTAGGTTACTTTATTTTTCTGACTCTGTCATTTTTAATTGCTTATTACGTAACCAACATGTGCAGTCACTTACCCCTCAGTTACTTCTGAGTTTTCCAAAGTTATGCATTACTCAGTCTACTCTTTGTAACCATTTCTACCCTTTAGTTGTTTGTATTAATTTTCTTGGTTAGTTATCACCCCTGTGAAATGCTGGTAGTGCTTATTAATTGTTAACAAAAACATATTTACTAGATGGGTAAAGTATTTATCCTGTATTAAAAATGCTATATATAAATATCTTTTAGAATCCAACCAGAGTTGACGATCTAATTGAAAAGTATATATTTCATGAGCTTTTGAGTCGGGTCTCAGTGGCTGAATAATATACAAGCTGACTTGTAACCTGAAGGTCCTGAGGTCAGAACCCCAGTGGTGGGTGCATACTGTGAAGAGTCCCAAATTATGACGAAAAAGCTGTCCCCGGTTTTCAGTGGTTCTCTAACTGATATCAGTCTATGGTCAAACCTGAAACAAATATTTATTCGTTCAATCCTTTTGTCTTCTAAGTGTATAAATGGGTTATAAAACTCAAAAACAACTAGGTACATGACATTTAGTTAGTTGCATTATGTTATCTGAAGAAATGTACTTTCAAATTGTTGTTAGGTAGATAGAAGTGATTGGTGAGTGAATCAAGGTGACTTTGACCCCGAACTGTCTGTGGGAATTGTTGGTGTGTGATTCTTGTGGACAGAGTTTTTGGTCCCACCTTGTTGTGAACATTCTATTCGATTCTAAGGTACCTCGTAAAGCTGAATTTTAGTCAACTAATTTTGTTCTATAGTACTTATTTTCTACTTAGAAAATGCCCCTTGTCAGTGTAGCTGCCTACCGGAACATTTGAGGTGATTTTGAGTTTTTTGATGTTATTATTGCTGAATATAACCAACAATTTATTAAATAATAATGATATTTTTGGTATCTTTGTAGCGTTTGTGACCATGCACCTACCAAGGAAGTTTTAGACAGCTATAAAGTAGAACTCAGCGATCAGTTTACTGCTTTCTGACCACCGTTAGTTGGGTTCGATCGTCACACTACTTTACGAACTTGGCAGTTGTATTACTATTTTTAAAAGCAGTGAAAAGTAGAGTAAAATGTGTGATTTGTCGATGAACTCACCTCATCCTTATCATTATTCTCTTCCGTCTCATCTATTTGTTTTGACATGATTGATATGCGTACCGATGTTCTTTGTTGTACTTTAGATCCTCTTAGTTTCTTTCTTTGTTCTTCTTGCAAATTATTCAACCTCCATTGCCAACCTTGATCCTCTATTGTACGTATAATAAAATCAGGTAAAAGAGCCAGTAAAACTAAACACAGTGTACCAAACCAGGTAACACCAGCTCCTGAACCAGTGTACATAACTGTAAATGATCCAAATAGCTGTTTACCAATTGTAGCAGGAAAAAGTACCACATTACATATTAAAAATGCTCCAAGATTACTGAAAAATGCCACATGCCATAGTAGTAATACAATCCAGTTTAAATAATAGCTCATAAGTAGTACTTTGATATTTACAATAATAAATACAAGAATAATAACAAAATTGCCAAAGCAAACGATATCGCCTAGTGCAGAGTTACCATTATCAATGCTTTGACCTTGAAAAGTTAAAAAATATGCACCAAAAAATGCAACGAAAGCATGCCAACAGGCCAAACCAATCCAAAAGATAAAGCGTTCTTTAGAGAGGATAGCATTTTTAGCAATTCCTTTGTATAAAACAGGAAACTCTAAAAGTGTACTCTCTGGTACTGGTACCTCAAAGATACCATATAATAGAATTGGTATTGATGTCATAGTTAAATTGAAAAATAATAAATACAATTGCGGATAAACTGACTGTTGTGAATAAGAACAGAAAAATCCATACAACATTTGAGGTAAAGTGAAAATTATATTTTTGTAGAAAAAATACATAACTAATAAAGAAACGCGAAGATAAAAGTTATGTCCATGTACAAGGATAACATTTTTTAAGAAATGAAAACGTCCAAATGCATAGTCAGCAGCTCGAACAGCTTGTCTGCCTTCTTTACCGTATATACCGAAACCAATGTGTGCTTCTTGTATCATTGAGACATCATTGGCTCCATCACCGATAGCCGCAGTAATCGGTACTGATGACTTTCTACTTTCTTTAATTAATCTTACCACTTCAGCTTTTTGTAAAGGCGTTAATCGACAGCATAGGACTGTTGTTGATTCTAAGCAACATTGTAAAAGTAATGATCTTACTGGCTCCTGTAATTTGGAGGAGAAAATTGTAAAACAAACGTATGAATGTCGCCTGACAGAAAAACTAAACAATAATGTTAGCTGAAGAAATAGTAGAAATCAGAAAAAAACTTCTGCTCAGAAATTCTTCATCATTTACTGAAACTTTATGCTTTATAGTGTGGTGCGAGCAGTCTGCTAGCCAAATGGTTGACATCAATCTACGTCAATGTCTAGGTCACTAATATGGGCCGTGAGAAAATATGAGCAAGGCTGTTTCAACAACGAATCCCAGTAAACTTAAACGTGGGCAAATATGATTCGCAGATAGATGGCTCCACTTTCCGAGGAATTCGAAAACAACCAATCAGAAGACTGCGTTTGTCTACTTGACTAGGCTATAATGATTTATGTGAAATTTATATAAATACGTGTTGATTTCCGTAATAAAACGATCTGTTGCCTGGCCCTTGTCTTCTGTTGTTACAATAGTATATAGAACATTCAGACCTTACTAATCACTGTGATAAATAGTATATTAATTGATTTATTTTTACCAATTATCGCAGTCACCATTTTCCCTGACTAGATCTTTAACGGCTTTTATGTTGGTGATTTTCTGTTCATCTCTAAAGACTTCAGATAAAGGTCTCAGTCTTGAATAACAGTTGACTTTAATAGGATAGGATCATTCGCTGATGTTATTTCAGATTGGTGAGTTGTGATCTATTAAAAATAGTCCTTCTGGATTGCCATGGATTCTTGGTAATAACAACACAGGCATGGTTTGAAGAAATTTTATTCCTTTACTTTCCGAGTGAGAAATAAGACTTCAAGCTTGACCTTTTAAGTTTCAGTAGCAGTGGTTTTATTTTTACAGGAAGGTGTTGCTAACCTCACGCTAACTCTTACCATCGGCTTAGCGAGGTTTAGGAGTGAGCCGGCCGATGATCGAATTCCAGACCACGTGCGTCGTTGGTGAGCGTCCTGCCATCGAACCACTGATGCATTATGCAGACATGAGCTACGTATGTTTTCTGCCTTAATCATTTGCATGATGCAGGCTTCAATTTGTCGACCACTCATGTGGTCTATGCTTCGGTTTCCGTCGGATACACTCCTAAACCTTGCTTAGCCGGTAAACAGCCTGTCTGGTAGATAGGGAGGGTTAAGTGGATGTCTGACAACCCCATCTCGCAGCTACAGCGACTGGAATTTCAAAACTCAAAGCTTGAGGATCTGTGTTCAACTCGGAAGGCAAAGAAAATAAATTGTAACAAAAAATTAAGCAACGAAAATCGGTAGTAAAATAATTCTTGAATCCGGCTTTTCGGATTAAAATTCAACCTAAATCTGACTTTAGAGATAAGTCGATGATAGTGTGTGGTTGTGCAATAATAGTAATAACATTGATGAATGTCCTTCTTTGTGACGGCATTTTGAAGAGTTACTATTTTTTATGTAATTCGTAGCCGTTATGTCGACTTTCTATGTGTACGTGCTAGGAATAATGTTTCATTATAAATAAGCATTACTTCAATGTTTATCCAAACACCATTCAGCATGAAACTAGTTCAAACATTAGTCTTACGCCGAGTATAAATGTCCTCCCTGAGTCACCACCACGTGGGTATACGTGACGCTAAAATGATTTCCTAACCCAAGGTGGATGTCATTATAGACCGAAAATCTATTTAGTTCTAATTTGGCGCTAAAATGTTGAAATAAATAGGAAAATTTGTAGTTAATGTCGGAACATTTTTTGAAATATAGTACTCAGATCAGCTTGCTATTAGCAGACATGTGAATATAGCTCAGATTTATAAACCAGTTCCAACAAGCTAAAGATAAAGTGTCGAATGGGTAAGATGAGCTATATCAATATAGAAAAAGACAGATATTTCATTCATAAAGAATTCCGAAAGCTCACTCATTTTTGTTGTTAGCTCTAAATGTGTTGTGTAGAGGGACGATAAAAGCTTTGTAGTTAAATTAACCAGTTTCGAGAACACCTAAATGTTCCATCTTAGAAGTCATAATCTTTCTGAATTTTCACAAAAAGCCTAACATGAGACTTACAGTTAGACCTGTTCTAGACACATTCACTCTAGTATGTCGTGTGACATTTTATCTACAGTTATTTTGAAGTCTAAGCTCCAGGAGAAGATTTATTTGCATATATATATATATATATATATATATATATATATATATATATATATATGGAGGATTGGGGAGCACAATCCATCTCTTATATGTTGAAATTCCAACAAGACCTAACTGAGTGTTTTCGAATGGAAGGTCATGCAACCAGAATCCTCTGGTATTTAGGTCACTTCAGTCTGGCTAGCAGGCATTACTGGTTGATGTGATGGTGGTATGCAACTGCTCATTTTAATCAATCAGTAGTATGTAATTTCATGCATTTATGCTTGCTCCGTTGATCAGCAATCATGGTATCAGGCGGATCACATACTGTGATCTGAATAATTATGGTTTCTAACGGAAACCGTGCTGAAGTTTCACCTTCTCGAACTGTATAACTCGCAAATTGCGGATTTGTCTTGAAGCGTTATATATCACTTGCAGCGCGGAAAATGAAAAACATCTCTCTCGCTCTTTGTTACAAGATGCCATCTTGTGTCACTGTTTATATTTGTAAGTTATAAAAAACAAAGCGTATCAACTTACCACAAGAGCATAATTTAACGACTGGCCGTCTATAACAACACCGAATTGCGCTTCAGGATGGTATTCTTTTGATTCTTTTATACGTTCAATTTGACTTTTTAAAAAGCCTCCGCAACCAATCATATCATTTAATTTTGTTATACGAACTTCTTGCATACCAGGATAAAAATGTCCAGCTAAGTAGCTAATATTAACAGCTGTCTCCTCTTTATCCCCCGTAAGCACCCAAACCTTAAAGGAATTTATTTAAGAAAAATTAGGTTATTTATGAATACTCAGAAAAATTTAATGTCGGGTAGTAGAAAATAAAATCTAAACGAAGACTGACATTACTGAAAACTTCTATTTGAGCACTGAAATAATCTGAACTGCTAATTCAGTTAAATGTGTATGGGGAAATATTACAGAGCTGTTTTCAAATATAAAAGCTATAAAAATCACTTGTGTACTTGTCAGTGTCATCCTTGACAGTTTTTGTGCTCTCCGTAGGATGGTTAGGTTTATCAGGTTGTCACAAATGTAGACAATGGAGTGAATGTTACACATCAAAGTGTAACACTTTCTGAAATAAACAGATGCTATCTAAGGTTGTGGGTAATCTTTGCATACGGTTACAGAAGTGAGGGGACAGAAATTTCAAATTTTTCTTGGTTACTGGTAGTGCTTCAGCTGATGTCATTCTACAAAGAGTTTCACAGTGAAGCGGGGTAATCTTATTAATTTTGCAAGCGTTTAGCATTACATCATCAGTAATAGTTACGCCAATTGCTGTTAGAAGATGAAGCAAAAAGCCATCGGGCTGATCGATTTTCAGGCATACTATTGCTTAGGATGAGTAACATACCATAACTGACATCTACAGAAATTACCTTGTTATCAGACACTTAAGTGAGCAGAGTTTTTAGGAACTGGTTACTCTCTAAGTTGTAACTGTATTTGTTAAGTGTTTTGGTTTAATATTAGACATCATAGTCATGCCTTTTAGGTAAGTACTAGCATTTCATCTGAAATAAAGCTGAGTCTGACGTTCGACATTCTAGATTAGAAGTACTGTTTGTCACGTTTAGAATCTCATCTGTTAAAGTCATCTTTTGTAATTCTTCTAATACTGATGTGATTGCTGATAACCTTACGTCAGTTTGTTAAACATTTATGAGAGAGAAAAAACAGAGAAATGACATAGTATGTAAAATAATTAGAGTTGATTTTCACCGAGACCTGTAACCTGCCAATCTCACAGAGGTTCTAAAGTAAGTGATGATAAGTTGCAGTATTGAATACATAGTGTAAGCCCTTTGAACTGTTATGTGTCCTATCGAAATAAAAACGGTTTACAGTAACTTTTTTAGAACTCTTATTCGAAGGTGAGTACTTTGCTTTATAAGTGTAGGGTAGCGAAGGTGACCACTAGCAGTAATTTAAAAAAGTGGATAGAAATATCAGATGAGTTAGATTATTCCAGATGAATATGAAGTGAGAGTCGAAACGGATATCTGCTTTTGGTGTTGTCATATTGTCGGCTGGGTTATCTGATTACAGAGCTTATATTGTCTTTCTATACAAAATCTACAGCGAAGAATTTAGTGTGAAGCCATTTAGCAGAAGGACAATGAAAACTTCAGCTCACGGAACACAGCCAGACTCAAACAATTCACCTTAGCCAAAAACCTTCTCCACTGTCGGTGTGTGTATCAAATGATATATTCAGTAATTTCATATCAATATGATAACATTACTGTTTACTTTTTCCGTAGAGTTTTATCAGCGCGATATCATTATTTCCTTCCTAAATCAATGGAGGAAAGTTGTATAGTCCCCATAGTCTTTTTATTACAGCTTTCAGTGGTTCACACTGTCACTGATCCACTTTACAATATCAAATATCGCAGTCTCTCTCTCTCTCTCTGTGTGTGTGCTTCAAACTCAACATTTATTACTAACTAGTGAGAGTAGTTAAAATCTGCCTGTGTTAGTCTACCAAACTATCTATAGACTTGTTAAGAATGATTTCAGATATTTCAAATAATAAGTATATTACTGCGTACTTATTGATTTCGAGTAAGCCGCCTGACATTTCACAAAATACTATTATTCCCTTGGGTTATGAGTTGGACATAGGGCTTCAACTGCATATCTTCATTTTGTCTCGTTCTCCACAGTCCTCATTACCTGCTTCCACGACTGTTTATAACCTCTCCTCACACAGTCTCCTCCATGTAACCATCGGATATTCAACCTGTTTTTTCTCACTCAAGCTCCCCTCGAACTGTGGTCTGGCACTTGATGTCATAAACATTCTTCTTAGAGTGTGTCCGATTCATTACCATTTCTTTCGGATATATGTTGATCAATATATTCTTCATTGGTTCTTTCCCAGAGTTTTTTGTTTCTAATTCTTTCTAGCCAGTCATCTGATTTGTCAGGGTTATATACCTAATTCCGAAGTCGTTATCACGTGCAGTTCGCTTACGTCCGCCACACATTTCTGAAGCTGTTACAATAAGATCGACTAAACCGGAATTTTGTATACAAAAAAGAAAATATCCAGACTCCGTTCCTACCGTGGCCAAACTTGCATTGATGATTCTTCTTCTTATCAAGAGTGCTTCTTCCCCTTAAGCCTGCTGGTTTTTTCTTTTGCTTTCCTTATTATTACAACCATTATTATTATTATTCGTTATATTTATAATAATTCATCCAAACATTCCCTCAATACTATCGAATTTTCCATTTATACTATCCGAATTTATTATTATTGATATTATCTCTTTTCTCGATATATGCCTCCACCGGTTTCATTTCACATACTCGTTATTTCATTATGTACCTCTTATTGCAGTCTTACTATCTCCTCTTTAATACATACCAGTTTGTACTAGCCACTCACCTGACACCTTTTATAACCTTGAACGGATTTGTCAGTTTTTCCTGCCCCACATTCTACAAATCTATTATGACTAATCACCACCACTGTCTACCATTCTACAATATTTTGTAGTCGATTTCAGTCTAGCACGTTTGTCACACAAATACTAATGTTTATTTTGACACTAATCTGTTATTCTACGTTAAAAATATGTATCCGCCGCATAACTGGCCATTATTCTAACGACAAGAAATATTATATTTTGTAATTGTAAGAACCTGAAGAGGAGAAATTACTGACTGACTTTAATATGATCTTCAGTATGGAGTCAGAGAAGGTAGCTGTTGATAAAAGTGTGAGGTAGCCTGTTGGAAATGCTTTTCATGACGGGCCAAATTTTTGAATCATATAGAAGTGACTGGCTTGACATTGGTGTTGAAAATTCAAATTTCGTTGTTTTTGATGAGTTCAGAAGATTTCCAAGCTCATTTCAGGATGATGAATGTCTATCTCGGCTTTCCCTATTCTGGTTTTGACAGCCTCATACACATTAATCTGCCTCATAACTACTCTACTTAAATTCACTTTAACAGGAAATAAGATTGTATAGAATAATTTGGACTTACTTTAATACCAGCTTCTCTGAGTGCTTTTATAGTTTCAGGTACACCATCTTGCAGCATATCTTCTATACCAGTACATCCAATTAATGTAAGTTTACTTTCAATATCATTATAAGCAGATATTAATTCCTTTTGACGGCCATCCATCATTCCTCTTGCTGTGTCCAACTGTTGTTTCAATTGAGTCCATTGTTCGTAAGTAACCAAACGGACACCCATAACTAATGTTCGTAGGCCAAGTGTAGCAAATTCAGTCACTTGTTTCATCACTTGTTCAGGGTCCATTTGTAAATATGAAGCGTAAGGGCCACAAAAGCTATCACCTAACGGATCACCATAGCTAGGGAATTGTGTGGTCTGTTGGCTTGCATTTACCTGGTGAAATAAATAAAAGATTCTGATTTTTGATGAAAATGGTCGATAGCTATATAAAATCTTAGCTACATGATTTCAGTGTTATAAACTTATAATATCGGTTATTATGTAAATCTATAAAGAGCAAACTAAACAAGACTCCACTATCGAGTGATTCAAAATTGCTTTAAAGAATGATCTGAGAAGTAACAGCGATAAAAAGATTGAAACTGTATTTAAAATGGAGATTCCAATTACGGCTGAGAAAAAGATTCATATCTTGTGGGTAAAAAAACTCCAAAATTTAACTATTAACCTCTAGTTATTGGTCTTTCAATACTGACCAATCAAATTCCTGCAAACCAACACTTGGATATTTTTGTTTTTATGAAGGTCTGAATCTCCAGGTTCAACAATGTGCAAACGCCTATTTTATCCGTATGTCTACAAGACGCCACTCTCCCTTGAAAACACTGCAGCATTACTTTTATATTAAAATGATCCAGTTCCGAAGAATGGTGATCTCAACAATGCAGTTTATTCAATTTCATCACATGGTACGGCGATTCGTTGTTGCAAACGAATTTCATAATTATTTATATTAAAGGTGAATTGGCATGATGTTACAGACGCTTATCACAAACAAAAGGTGCTCGATGGCCATATGGAAGTACTGTAGATATTGGGTTGATATTTCGCCCGTTTTAGGCATGGCTCATCACCTCAACAGCCAAATCAGTTCAAACTATGCGAATCGTGGTCAGGAACTCTGTAGGACTGGTAACAGATAGAATCAACTTGCAAATTACTCAGTTACGAGTGAAAATTCACCACACTTTCCTTTTGAAATCAAAAATGTTGACATCACAATATGTGATGTGAACAAAATGAATTGTAATACTGAGGTGGAAATCGTATATATCTAGCAGTGGTTAGTTCTGAGAGTAAGATTTCAATCAGCACTTAAGATCAGAGAGTGGCAGTGCACTCCAGGTGAAAATAGTGCACTTGTAAAGGATTCAATTTTCAACAGAAAAGATTGATATCAAGGTATTCAATGTAATAGCTAAGTTGAAACAATCAGGACTTTATTGGCAGTATGATTTTTATTACGTTATCTGCAGGCATATTCAGTGGTGATCCCGTTTCGAAGAATGGTGATCTCAATAATGCAGTTTATTCAGTTTCATCACATTATCAGGAAGTATTTCATTACATCAAGAAGTATGCAACTAAAGTTCAATCCGCCTTGTCTGTCGACTCAAATTGTGGCAATTGGAATGAAGTAACCACATTATTTGTATACGTTAGTAATGATGCATTACTTTCTAAATGAAGTGAAATTTACATAGAGACTAAATTCTTTTGTTAACAGACTTGCCAGTTAAGGCATGAAAACACTGAGTTGAGTTCGGTCGCCTTGAGGTTTTCTTAATTAATGTCTACTCAATCAGAGTCAACATTATGTGTCTTATACAGTTCTAGTGAGAAGTTATAATCAGCGGTAACCACCAAGGCAAGTAAAAGATAGGTTACTTGCCTATGACCATGACTGGCAGTTACTCTGTATATATTATGAATTGTCAGTAGTTGGAATTCATGGGCTTCCAGTTTGATCGGGTCCCAGGGGCTGAATGGTCTACGAGCTCGCCTCGTAGCCGGAAGGCCCTGGGTTCAAACCACTGTGGTGAGTGCGTGTCAATGAAGAGCCCTAAAATAGGCTGGTAAAACAGCTGTCCAGTACTCACTGGTGGTCTTCCAATGATACTGTAACGGATGTCAACTCATGAAATCCTCTATCCAATCAAATCCCTGCAAACCAAGATTTGATCATTATCCGATATTTGTACAGAAATATCAGTTAGTAACTGCAAGTAAGCGTAAAAAATAAAACGTTGGGTTAGTAATTTTTCCTAGACTAAAAGATTAAAGCGAAGCCAGTTTAATAGCAAGACAAATTTCTGAGATATGCTCTATGTGTACGCCTGATTCTTTCACAGATTCATGCTCTTTTACATTGACACTCAGGAGACTTTAGGAGTTTTCGTAGAGAAGCAGTTGTTACTGCTGTTCACTGTAAAGCAACAGAATAAAAAGGCATTTGCAAACTTTTAAAAATAACCTGTGGATAAAGACTTTAAAATATGTATCATGACTGAAATAGTTGAGATAGTTTACCTTGGCAAGAAGAGTTGTTTCGGCACCTTTACACAGTATCAAGACAGGCGGTGGACTTGTTGACGATGTTGTGTTACCGTCCTTTGGTACGAATTGGACGATGACTGACATGCATTTTCTTGTTGGATCAAATTCAAGTACATCCAATAGTCGATATCTCACGGCTTCTCCGTGAATTGTTATTACCTTGAAAAACGAAAAATTAAGATATTTTTAGCTACCTACTAAAGAAGGTGTTAAGTAATAAATCTACATATCACTAATAATATGAAGTGAAGATTATTCATGATGGATGGATTTTAAGACTAATTACAAGGGAAACCTGAATGTATTGACTAGATCTCTTGTTTAATTTTGGTTCACATGTGGCTGTCAATAGAGATTCTTCGTAATCTTCAAAAGAGGTAACTTCTATGACATGAAAACTCATCCTTACTGGAGTTAAAACTCACCTAATTGGAGTCATATTCATAGAATTCGATCTTGGGTTGGCTTGTGTTTATGCCATTATTTAAAGGTGAATGAGGAATTTACAACAATGTAAACAAAAAAGCGTATCAGCAGTTTTCTGCAGAAACTGAAGTAATCCAGAACACGATATGTGATCTGCTGTATACCATAAATGGCAAACATTAAAGCGATAGAAATATCATAGGGATGTATGCACCTGACTGATGGGAGTAGTTAGTAGCTAATAGACCGGTAAGGCTCTCAAAACTGAGTTTAATCGAGGAAGACGTCGATGGGTGTAACATAATCCCTTCGATCTGAACACTAAGCACTCCAGTTTAGCATGAGTGGTTCCCGACTAACTATTTAGTCAGTAGTATATTACTATCATGTAAGAAGACTATAGATTCCTTAAAATTTTGTATAAATATAGTTACACCCACCACAAAGATGCGCTGAATTATGTTATTCGCCCTGAGAACATCAGAACCAACGGTTTTATTACCAGAGTAAAAAAAACCATACATACATATAATATATAATCCTTATAAGTTAGAGAAGTAACCTTCCGGTTTACAGGAATCCAGTAAAAACCTCTGTTTTATTTTCGTTTATATTTAAATAGCATATAAAAGTTGTACAGACTTCAATGCTTGAACGGAGAGTATTCATGTGACCACAACATTTAGAAATTTACTTGTAAACAAATACTCTTATTTCTTATTACCACCTTTCAATTAAAATGGAATAGATTTCCAGCTGCACTGATTAACTAATCATGTTTAGTCCCAAAGAGAATTCTTAATGTTAAGGCACATTCCTTTGTAACACAAATCTTTTGTGAATTTCAGAGCATTTATTGCTGCCTGCTTAGTGTAAATATCATTAGATATAGGATAATTTTATTTGACATAAAACATATTGATACAATATTACTAAGTGGATGGGGTTTCAGACACAGTTTATCTTTCATAATCATACCGAAGAATTAAATTTTACTATGATGGCCGAATTTTAATTCCACATTAATTATGTCTATGATCTTTGTGTTCGGAAACCAATAAGGAAACTCAAATAAATTTTATGGAAAGAAGCAGAGTTCACAAATCGTCAGGTTTATAACACTGAGTGTTTAAAGCAGTGCGACCATTCTTAAGTATCTTTCTTATGGTCATCCTATTTGTGACAAATAAGGTGAAAAAAATCAGGACAGCAACTCAGTGGCGAAGAACTTCACAGAAGTACTAAGAAGCTAGCTGCCCCCAAAGTATTAGACTGATCAACAAGGATTGTGAAACCATAGTGGGAGCATCCAAATAGGCAAGACCAACTGCTATCAGCGTAACCAGAAATGCAAAACAACTTGCATAGGATTCTAGCACAGGAACCTGTACTGAGGTTATATAGCCAGTAAACAAGTTTCTTAATCAAAAAGAGACATAAGGATTAATAAAACATGAGTAATTACCTAACATTATTCTTAATCTTAGTGTACTTTTCTTAATATTATGCAGTTTTTTTGTGTGTCAGAGAAGAGATCATAAGCTACGAAATGCAATTAAAAACCCCAAATTTTTATTGTTTATTACTCAAGACGACTTTTTCTTTTGGTAGTATTAAGAATTTCATTGTTGAAACACACTAAATATGACCTTAATCTGGTTGTTTAGCAACACAAGTACATACATAATAAAGACTTTGTTTTAATAATTACTGTTTACATAGCTATTTTAAACTTTATTTTTGAGATGGATAAGGATAAACACTATTCTCCTTTTGAGTACGATGGGAAGTGAATGTGAATAGGGGATAAATTGACACTAAAAGTATTTTTAACAAATAGCAGAAAATCCTTCGAATGTATACATAGATGAGAGTACAAATAAGGAAGGTAGAGAAGGAGAATAATTTCACGGTGAGTTTAAAATAAGGTTGTGTTCTGGTTAAATTTAAGTGATGAACAAACTAGCAGTTAATGCTTCAGTACTAAAAGCAATATGAGTCGGACAACATTAAGAGTGGGAAGATAGTCATGCATTCCATGGCTTGACACTGCCCGACCGGCAAAAATACCAACATACTGAATGTCATTATTAGATAGTGCTGAACGATTAGCACACAAGCAGAACAACTAATATACCGAGACTGAAGTAATTGCAGTACATCGCAGTAGGTGTACCAGTTGGCACAAAACAGCAGGAAAATAAAGCTATTTTTTCTAAGAAATGAAATCTGAACTCTTATAAAGCTAAAACAATAATTCCAATGTGGATAGAATTTATTTTTATATAGTCTCATAGTGTTATTTATACAGTAATATCTACTGATGGCATTTCGAGCTTAATTCGTTGCTACTCATGATCAAATCAAGTTACTCACACAACTTTTCAAATTCGTTTATATGGTTCCACCGTATCTCATCTCCTAACTTAATTGGTACTTACATTTTCCATATTTCTGGTATCAGTCATGAGTCATTCCTATTACACATGTTGGGTGTAGATTCTATTAACAAAGATTCAGTAATCAACCTCTCTCTCCATCTACTGATATTACTTCTTAGAATTTTAACCCTCTGCCATTTTGATCTTCCTAATGCATTTATAGGATAGTTATCTGATACCATTTTTATTTATTTATTTTTGATTTTTGATTTACAGCTTGATTCCATACTGTATTTTTGGTACAAGTATGGAATTTTCAGCATGGATATCGGTAGCCCAAATTTTGCAGGCCGACCATAAATATCAGGTGTGCGCCGGCGTGGGCTCGAAACCCGGACCATGTGCATGGACCTAACCACTGTGCCACCGACGCACCACCAACGCTTCTTCCATCTGTCTCATTTCATCATTTAGGCCTTTTCTTGTACTACTTAGTTCTGCTGCCTAAACAGTTAACGGATGACATGAATTAAACTCTAAATATCTATTAGAATGCGTCGGTTTCCTATAAACTTTAGTGGGCAGTTTTTGCGTCGGTAGCATAGCGGTTAGGACGCTCGTCGACCATGCAAATGGTCCGGGGCTCGATTCCCGGCCGACGAACTCCTTTACCTCGCTAAGCCAGAAATAATCCTGGTAAAGAGGAAAGGTTAGGCATGAGGCTAGCAACATCATCCTGTAAAATAAAACTGCTACAGAAACTTCAAGCCACTAGCTTGAAGCCCTATGTTCCACTGGGGAACGTGAAGGAATAAAAAAGAAAAACAAGTGTGCAGTTTACCTTCTTCTGTTCGTTTTATATTACAATCTAACATAGCTGATTGTCACTGTTCATTTTCCGATTGAAATGTGAATTTTATTCCCTCTACCAGTGAGTTTACATGTGTCAAGAAACTAGAGACACGTTCTGTTTCTAACTTTGTGAGTGGAAGTGTCATCCACATATCTTCACCATATTTTTGGAGTAGGATTAACTGTATTAAGAGCAATATTTTCCCAGCTGTCCATAAAAATATCTGCTTCGGTTGGATATACTGGTTTCGCCTTGAAATTTAAGGATAGCAGACGTGAGGCATAACTGAATTCCTCAAATAATTCAATAGGCAGCTTTATTCTATGGCTAAGTTCGGGATCAGAAGTTAGTTCTCTTTTAACCGCTTCTAAGTCCGTATTGATTGGTATATTGGTATACAGATTAGATATATCAAAACTAACCATGTTTTTCATTATTCTCTAGCTGACTGTCATTTAGTCTCTTTTTCATCTCATATGAATCAGTTAGTCTAGAGTTTGAACGATTTATAATGGGATATAGTAGTATACTTTGATAATTCATAAGTGGGCATATTTCTGAAATCTGCTATTGGTTGTATGGGGTATGTATGTATTTTTCTAGTATCACGTATTTTTTACTAGCAATATTATTTCTCGTTATTAAATTAAACCATTTAAACTCACCCAGTGACGGCTTCATACAGTGTATTAAATCCACTGTAGATTTGTTAATCTTACTCATTATTGTATATACAGACTACCAATCAAATCAAGAGGTAAGAAATACTGAAACCATGGAAACGAAGTTTGAAAGTTGTGTGAGTAACTTGATTTGATCATGAGTAGCGATGAATTGTGCTCGAAACATCATCAGTAAATATTACTGTATAACAACACTGTGAAACTTTATCAAAATTAATTTTTATCCCCAATGAAATTATACTCCATCACAGTGCACGAGTTCTATTATATATTATATTAACTTAAACGATAATAATAATGTCCACTATACTCCAAATTAAAAGTTTATCATTTTACAGTTCTGACTTTGACGGTTTAGTTACATTATTTATACTGGTGTGCCTTTTTACAGTAAGACTATGAATGCTTGAAAATAGTACAGTAAGGTAAAATTGGAAAAAAACCCACCGAAACACAGAGTGGTAGTGTAGTAATTTTCAAGTCTACACTTTACTGTCAAATAAAGAAAGAATATTCAAAGTAGTATGCAGGATTTTATGAGGCTGGATTTAGAATGGCATTTAAACTTTTGAGTTGATTCAAACAGAAAGACGGTAGGCCTAAAGGTTCTACACATAAAAGCAGACTACGTAATTACGTTAATTATCATATACTTTTTTCCTTAACGTTCCCCAGTGGAACATAGGGCTTCAAGCTAGTGGCTTGAAGTTTCTGTAGCAGTGTTTATTTTGCAGGATGGTGTTGCTAGCCTCATGCCTAACCTTTCCTCTTTACCAGGATTATTTCTGGCTTAGCGAGGTAAAGGAGTTCGTCGGCCGGGAATCGAGCCCCGGACCATTTGCATGGTCGACGAGCGTCCTAACCGCTTTACCACCGACGCGTAATTACGTTAAGCTGACACCATTTAACTGCTATAAGCCACGCCAGTAAAGAGAATACGTTTAGGCCATTAAAAGATAATTCAAGTAAAGGTGTAGAACGACATGCCCAGAAACATATTATTTACCGCGATACATTCATTAGTAAACAGTAATATAATACAGAGTAAATCTTAGAAGTAATGTTATTTAGGTGGAAGGAATTTATATCACTGAATATTCCTTCGTTGAACTGACGTTTAATATACCCTCCTTATGGAGACTGCAGCATCAACATTACAGATAGAAAATATTTTGTTATAGAAATTAGGAGGAATTAGAATTATATAAAACAATCTGGAAAACTGTATAACAATCTTGGTATAATTACCAGTAATAAACTACGCTCATGACTTCAATTCAGTAATAGAAATTCTCGCTACTTCAAATAAACCTATCTGTTTGTCTCTAGTTAATATATCTATGATAACGTCATGACACCTGAATTAAGCTAATTTAGATTATACGAAAGAGTAGATTAGAATGTCTTTGTGAACTTGGTTAAAACTACAACTACAGTCATTATTCCAGAAGTGTCTAACTATTCTCTTCGTAATCAAAATCAAGTATTTCAGAATAAAACCAACCATCGACCATATAATCACTAGCTCGGCTCTGTATAAGATGAGTTATGAAGCGACATTACTAACTAGGTCATCATTTTACTGCAGTCAACACAATCACTGAGACATTACATCAATAAAAACCCGCTAACTCGAAGCTTATTTGAATGTACAAAACGATGAATGAAGAAGTGAAGAAGTGTTAGGAAAGACAAAAGATAGTTCTACAACATGCAGGAGCAAAAAATATCGCAGTCTAAAGAGACATCAGAACATTAAAAAACTAAATCCTTATCCTGGAAGAAACCAACTCAGATGAAACCTATGAAAGATGGTCAAGTGAACCTAATTACCAAAGGGGAGAAACAAATAAATGTTTTTTGATGAAGTCTCACAGTGTTATGCAGTAATGTTTACTGATGACGTTTTGAGCACAATTTATCAGTCATCAATAAACATTACTGTATAACACTGTGAGACTTTATCAAAACAAAATTTACGCATAATGGAATTACAGTCTACCACAGTGCACAAGTTTTATTTTTATTCTTATATCAAAAAAACAGTTGGCTGATCACTTTAACGGTCTCCTTAACCGACTGTCATCAGCAGGTCTTCCAGAAATACCACAGATAGCATGTACAGAACTGCTAGTGAACACCGATCCTCCAAAAAAGCAGAGGTCTTGAATGCAATCAATCTAGTGAAAGCTGGCTGGGCAGGCGGCAGGACCGTGTGGAATTCTGTCTGTCTGAAGCATTGAAAACAGATCCAGAGACCTCAGTGAATGTTCTAATGCCTCTACTGCAGAAGGTGTGGAGGGAAGGATAGGTATCTACTGACCGGAATAAAGGTTACTTTGTCAAAATATCAAAGGAGGATGACTCAAGTTTCTCAAAGAACTGGAGCGGAATAATGCTCTTGTCCCGGCCAAGCAAAACATTAATTCGTATCATCTTGGAGAGTACAAAAGCTGGAATCTACAGAAGCAAATCGTGTGCAAGACAAATCGTCACGCAACGCATCATCATTGAAAACAGCATAGAATGGAATTCAAAACTTCAGGTCAGCTTCATCAACTTTGAAGACGCCTGCTACAGAGTTGACCACTGCTTCGACACTAAGGAGTGCCATTAATTTGTATTATCCTCACTCAACAGCACTACGATGTCAAATATCAGATGATCTAAAACGGGAAACTTGGCAAAGCGTTTGAAGTGAATACGGGATTGAGGCGAGATTGTCAATTATCACTAATGATATTCCCGATTGTGTTGCATTGGGTCATGTGGTACCGTGCGGCAAGCGAGAAGACAGAAATAAATTGAACTGATAAAGAGACTACAGACGATCTGGACTTCGTGGATGGATTATGTCTAGTGTGACATTAACTCGAAGATATTCATGGCGAAAGCAAACAAGTTGGGATAAGAGATAGGCGGCAATGATTGAATTTTAAGTGAACGTAGAGAAGGCAGAGGCGATGAAGATCCTTAGCCATCAAAAAGACAAACATCAATGACTACTGACAGAATAAATTTGAAGGACATCACTTCTTCCAGTTATCGAGTCATCATCGTGTCGACTACAGGCACGACACACGGATGTGAATGTCAAGACCAAGGCTGAAAACCTAAAGCAAACCTACTTTAATCTGAAATCAGTGTAGAAATTTACTGCACTATGCATCAAGAACGAAATTCGGTTTTTAACACTAATTTCATTTCAATTGTTCTACATGGTTCTGAGACTTGACGTGTCGCCAAAAGCATTTCCAACAGGCTTCGGGCTTCTATTGAAAGCTTTCTTCGCTGGTTTCATACTGAATATTAGATAGCCAACTAGAAAACATCAGAAACAAGGAACCAATCAAGAACCTATTGCCCAGCAAACATCCCGAAGAAAATGGAGAGGGAAAGGACACGTGCTGAGGATATCGTTAAATAATATTCTTCGCCTGTCCATAGTCCAAGTGGAAGGTGGATGGGATCTAACAAGTTTGGCGTAGTTCTTTGGGCAATATGTAAGAGACCATGTGAGGAAGAGATGACAGCTTATGGTCAGCCGTGGAGCCAGCTGAAGAGGGCTGCGGCAAACAGAAGCAAAATGGAGATGAGTCCTTACTTTCAACTTACAACCCAAGGGAGCGATAATAATACAACAGTCACTCAGATAGTTTTACCATAAATCAAAAAGAAGAAATATTTTCCCATGAAATCAAATTAAAATGACTCACAAGTAATCCACTTTCGTCTGAGCCATGGTATACTATGTCCAAATCACGACATGTTTCTACAAACGCTTTTTCATCAGGAGATGACGCCTAGAGATAATGAAATTTAAAAGCGAAAATAAATGTATATATATGAATATAATATAATGTGGATTTTCTTCTCAAACTGCGTAGTTTGATAAATTTGACTCCAAAATTAGATTTTATTCAATAGAACTAACAAATATGTATGAGTGCAATCCTATCACTAACTTTAGAGATGTATACACTGTAAATTATAAAGCTTTTTTTTATTCTCGGCGTTCTGAGTGGAATATGAAGCTTCAGCCTTTGGATTTTCAGTAGTAGCGGCGTTGCTTTCACAGGTTGGGTATGCTAGTTTACTATAAGTTACGGGGAGGAGAAGGCTTTGTGAGTGTGTTGGTAGGAAATTGAGTCCTATCCTTGAAGACATCCCATCATTACTGCTCACGTGAAACATGTCTGTCACAGGCAAAATTCAAAGTTATGATCAGAGAGAGAGCTGTTTAAACACGAAAACAATTTTATATGTTTAGAATGTTAAACAGCAGACGAAATTTAATTTTTCCTAACAATAACTACCATCTTTCAATATTGCAGGTAAGGTGGCTGGTCAGAAAATAACTATGGTAGGCAACCAGCCACCGCACAAATATGCAGAAAGACATAGAAGTGGACAAGAAGTCCCCTGCAGACATCTTCAAGTGATATCACACTCCAAGCCGTCCAGTGCAAACCGGTTTGAAAGCGACAGGTTGGAAGTGGGTTGTGGGTGAAATAAAGCAGACCATATTAAGAGGAAATGTCAGCTTGTAGACAGTGATGATAGCAGAGAAATGTGTAAATAATAATAATGGTATATGTGTCCTCGAAAGTACCCCACAGAACAACAAATGAAGTCTGGCCTTGCCGTTAATAATACCTGACTTGTCTTCAATGGCAAAATACTGGTCGTTTTATAAATTACGATGTATCCAATAAAAGCACTTTGGATACCAAACCTTTCAACAGTATTGCTTGCTGCATATGTAGCAATGCTCCATCTATATATTAACCTTAATTCAGGATTTTTAAATTACTCAGTGTTCTTCCGATATGACATGCTTACACACTTGAATAAACATAAATTTCAACTACTGAATTTCTGTATAAATAGATAAAACACACCAAATGACCTACTGGGAACAACCTTTATGATTTAATTAGCACATTATTTGTCATGCGATAATTGTTCCGTCTCACTGCTGAAAATTCAGGTGCTACACAAAAGTGCCGAATGTTATTAGCAGTGAAACAAAACTTGTTGGTCCTTAAAACGGAAGTTCTTGGGAAAAGAACACGTGTTGTGAAATAATACTAAAAATGGTTCCGAAAACCGCTGCTATTGCTTTTGCTATAAACCAGCTGTTAAAAAATTTTATACTGTTATGTTAGAAGATAGCAGATGCTGATAGCAGTCATGCTGTATAAAAGTGTATTTTGTTGAGTTTCTTTTAATTATTTACTTTAAATAAAAGAGAGGTGAAAAATTTATCAAAACATATTTCGTTCTAGATTTCACCACACATTGATAGCAGAATCGTTAGTATTTGAGATGATTTCTTCACTAATTGCGAAATCCTAATGTCTCTTGATTTCAGACATGTTAATTTTTGCTATTACCATCTAAAGTTACAACATGAAATTCCTCCTTTAATTGACTTCAAAAGATTCTCCTTGAGCCTGTGAAACAATGAATAATGAGTGATTATATGCACCTATTTTACTAACCTGCGCTAAGGCTGTGAAGGGTAAAGGTTGGGAGTGTTCCTACAACCTGGAGTTCATAGAAGACAAATCCACTACTGCTAAAACTCCGAAATAGAGAGAGAATGAATAAATATACTACTCGCTGGAATCGTGAGGACAAATGATGCCTCATGACGGAAACCTTCGAGAAGTTAGTAGACCGATATGTCTTCTTCTGATGAAAGCAGAAATGAACACATGAACTTGGAGTATATACATAATGTTTTCAGTTGGAAAAATTACTAAGACTGCAGCAGAAATGAAAACACGGTCGCCGTCGGAACTTGAAAAACACAGTAAAAATAATAATACAGAGATGTAAGTTCTATTTATATTCGACCGGTTGAGAAACAGATTTAATCCTGAACATTCAAAGCAAGTTGTTTGAAAGTCTCGAGTGAAGATGTAACGTCTATCCAAGTGTTTCCTCTATATCAATTTTTATCTAACTAGTATCATTTTGTGAATAAATTGGCTAGGCAAAATAAAAACTCAAAGATCTCAGATTTGATGTTTTTTCATTCAATGTCAGTGAATATTACCATCTGAGAAAGTTTACATAGATCACTCAGACTTAAGAGTACAGTCACACTGAGATTATATGGGCTGCTAAAAGTGTACAAAAACGGTTCGCCACTTCGGCCAGTGTTAGACATCTCTAATACCTCGTATTGCACAACCGCGATATGGTTGGTGAAGCTCTTAGAGCCTCTGTATAGTGAATTATTAAAACACAGTGTAAGAGATAGTTTTGAATTCGTCCAAAGAATAAGGGATTGCAATGTGCATGATAAGTTTATGATATCTTTTGATGTACTCACTCTCTCTTCACTAATGCACCATTGATTTAAATGGTTGATTCTATATTTGATGAGACTGTTAAGCGAAAAGTAGACATCAGTGTTTTTGTGTACCCCGCGAAGAAATTGATTTTAAGGTGTACGATGAATGTTCATATCTTGTTCAACTGACAGACTGATGATGTGGTCATGGGTTCACCATTAGGTCCAGCCCTAGCAGATATATTTCTGGCTAAGTTAAAGAAAGGAGTCATTAGTGAATTGGGATACTATTGTCGATATATGGATGATATATGTCTGATTGTGAAAAATGAGAATGAAACAACGAACATTCTCGACAAATTCAATGATAGGCACTCACTAATAAACTTAGAAGAAGTGTGTATAGGAAACCTTCAAAGACAGAGCAGTACACTCTGTTTTGAGTTTTGCACCTTTAAAATTCAAACGGAACCTGGTAAAGTGTTTGAATCAAAGGGCCAGGATAATCTGCTCAATGAAGAGTTTAAGATTACCAGAGAACTGCCTGGTAAAAATAACTATCCACATAAGTTCAATGAGAGAAACATAAAAGGCTAGTACGGCAACATCTTTGAAAATCCCTTTCTCAAACAAGTGAAGTTTCTCGGTGATAACATCAGCGAAGCAGTGACACAGTACTTGAAGAATGAAGTCAAAACAGCAGTAGAACACAGTCTCTTCACAGCCACCCCGATTTCACGTCCTAGAAATAAGGACAAACTGTCTAATTTTACTTCCCCTATGTGTATCTACCAGTCTGATTGCTCGTCAGCAGATGGTTACATTGGGATCATCATCGTATTTCCGAGCACCACCCTGCATGCTTCAGCATGGGACAGACACGATGTATTTTTTCTCTGTACTCGATATGCTGCGAGGAAGAGATAAAAATAACGGCATGACTAAGCAGCATGAAGTCGATGTTAACTTACAATGGAATTCAACTCGCTGGACACCTTCTGTTCGGCATTCGTCTGCTGGATGTGCCTACATCCCCGGTGAGTAGTTTGCTTTCAATCTGAGACTGGAACCCAGCAACCATCGTTTATAAATATCGAAGCGTTATCCACATGGGAGTGAAGTATGGGCTTTATTCATTGGTTTTTAAGTTTTAGTTATAATAATAATTATCTCCCATTAGAGAAAAAAATCCCACATTTTGTTTGCAAACAGTAAACAATCTGTCTGTAACACTGATATATACTGAATATTAAAAACTGTGTTGTTTATCTGAGTTATTTTTAGTATATCAAGTATTCATGAGTTTAGTATAGTGTGAAAGACATCTGTTAAAAAGTAAACTGCAAAAATTACTAATTCTAGAAGCCTTTTAATTGTGGCAGATCACAGCAGGTTATTAATTGAGTAGTTTGCTATTATATCGTCAATAATATAATTGAAAACGTAATACTAATTTTGGAAAAATTTCTGTATCTTATTTTCTTTTGAAAAGCGTGACAAGATGTTGAGAAGATGCCCAGCTAAATTATGTAAATAGGATGAGAAGTGTTAACTTGAATTCTCTTTTAACTAGTGCTTTCTACAGTTGACTGAGTTCAGTGAAATGAAAGTTTAGTTAATATGTTGTCATTTCAAGATCACTGATGCAAAAGTTGTCTTTAAAAGCAATGAGAGTAGGCTACAATTTACACATGATTTACACTATTTCCTCAGGTATATACTAAGTGTTCACGTCATCTGAACTGAATCAGTAATTTTACTGGAGGATATAGTTGATATGTGAAGCAGACAGCAGGTTTCAGCTGGTTCTTATTTATTATTATTGTTTATTTGATTCTTTTGATTTCCAGATGTAACATAGGGCTTCAAGCTTTAGCTTTAAAGTTTCAGTAGCAGTGGTACGATTTTTTCAGTGTTGTGGTGGCTATCCTGATGGTGAGCCTCCTCTCTCATTTGGGCTTGCGACCCCATAACACGTGCACAGTTGCGAGCTTTCTACCACTGAACCACCGACGAAGACAGTTTCTAAATACTGTGCTAGAAATGGAACACATTCATTGATATAGACGATAAATTATAGAGTATCAATTATTACCCTTTACTTGCAATAAGTAATTGAAACTATTTGATCCTGTACTCCACTGGACCAAGTTAATGAACAGTAATCTAGGGGAATGAACACACCGATGAACTTGAAACGTATATGGAGATCAAGTTGGGGTTAACTAGCAGGAATATTAGAGGTTTTCACGGTTAAATTAGAGAAAGGTGAAGGTTAAAGTTAGTAAGGGGAAGCTTTATCTTGGGATTGAGCTAAGGTACCGCCTTAAAAAACTGATTGCTCGTCTCAATGTCACTGATACGTTTGTCCGCTTGGATAGCTACTCTTCAACACTATTAATAGTAATATAATACATTCATATATATAATACTTAATAATCATGTTCTGACCAAATTGCAACTCTACGCATCATCATCACAGAACAAAGCATGAAATGG